GACCGTATCGACAACAAAACTCTCCGAAAAATGAGTGGCGTGCAAGATATCATGCAAACCATGAGAGTGAACAAGATCCGTTGGGCAGGCCACGTCGCACGTCTCGATGACAACTGATGGACCTCGCGCATTGTAGAATGGTACCCGAGAAAAAGAAAACGACCACTCGGACGACCTCCGATGAGGTGGCGGACGTACGTGGAGGAAAGAGCAGGAAAGAACTGGATACAAACCTCCAAGGACAAAACGGCCTGGCATGATTGCGCTCGGCGTATGGGAACTATGAAGAATCCACACTGAAAGCCTGAGCAATCTTTGAATCTTTGAATCTGTCAGAAGGCAAATCTTATGAACAGATGTAGTCTGAACTGGCTAATTTACAAAATTTCATGAACTTCAAATTAATGACCAGATAGCAAACGGAATGTGTCGACTGTAAAGTCACAAATGTGTAATGACTAAAATCAGAAAAACTTAAACAAAAAAGTCAGAACTCTCTGGATCCCTTCAATGGAAAAACATTATTCATCGCTTAGTGGTAGATACTCACCAAACCACTAATTCAACATTTAACCAAATAGCTTCTACCTATAGTCAGTCAGTTCCTACAACAGCTAATTCGTTCAGGATGTAGAGACAGACACGTCACGCAATGTCTCTAACGTTGCCGATCCTGCACAGGAAGAGGATAACCCGAGCCTAGAGCAAAGTTCTTCGAAATACTTACACCAGGTCATTCTTAGCCCTCCTAGGGATCTTTGACCAGCCGGCTGGTCGAGAAAGTATCAGCTGTTTCGCCTTTATTTCTGAAAGCATATGCAAGGGATGCTCAAACCATGCAACAGTAATTTCTCAACTTGGGGAAGAAGCGGCTTACATTAAGTATCTTTCGGACATCTAAACTCTGGATCCTGTCGAAATGTGTTACTCCAGCGATACGTATCAGAAAGCCCATTTCAGTCACATATCTATCCACAATAAAAATAAACTGTTGATTTAGTAGCGGTATACACTTCGAATGTAGAAACTGTTTTCTTAGGTTCTGCGATATTTGTCGACTGGCCTACCCACTGTTAAATGCTCGCATTCCTTAACACGACAATCGCTATCCACAACTTGTAAAAACATTTTGGTGGTAATTTATCTTGTCTCGAACAAAAACTTTTATCAAGCGACAACAGGCCAATAGTATGCAAACAAAAAAATAAATTTTGCAGGATTATGCAAAAACCAATCATTCAGGCAGTTAAACATATACCCAGGTACTGTAGTCGACCAATGGTCGTTCCGGCAGTGGGGAATCAGGGCGAGAAAAAAGAAAGCGAAAGTTTTCAGTCGGAGAGCTGGGGGAAGCAACATCTCTAACAGGCGGGAGGTCCGGATCTTCATAGTATCGCCGACTGCGACGAACTTTCTCAGCTTCATCATCGGACTCCGATGATGAATCGCCGTATCGCTTCTAAAATTAAAATATAACATATGGTAAAGTAAAATAATTTCCTTACCTTCCCCATCGCTAAAACGAGCAGTTGAACCTGCGAGTCACATGAAAACGATGGCGAAAACGGTTATGCCAAACATCACGCATGCCCCCTACAAACATAAGCGACCAATGCAAATAATTTCAGCAGCATCATCAACCTTACAAGAGGAAACAGCTCCACTTCTTTGAAAAGATGCAATTATAACTGAATTATTGCCGCATAGCTGTCAAGGAGAAGCTCTGATTCAATGGAAACCCTCGCTAGATCTCCTGCTAGATTTTGGTAAATACAACGATTTAAAGCCATTTAAGGGAGATTAACTCTAAACAGCTTCCGCACGGTTTATCAAGTAAAACATGTAAAACGTTTATGAAGATTCTTGTCTTAAAGGAAAGCGATATGAAGAACTGAAGCAACCATATCAGCAAAATGACGATACATACCACCACTCCAACTGATTGAAATAACATGTCAAGTGGCTGGAAACAACTGACTGTTCCTCACATTATGAACAAAGCTGAATACACTTAATTTTTAAGGAATTAATGGCTCACTACTACGGCAACCATGAGCGAACAATAAAATCTAAAAACCGCTACATCAAACGACCAAGAATCACCTTAGATTCAAAATGTCAAGAACTAATTCAGGCCGAAACGACAAAAAAATACAAATTACACGCAAGAAAAACTAATAAATTTCAAATCTCTCACTGAGAATGTTTAAAAAATACCATTAAATATAAAACCTTCAATATGAATCCACTCGTTCATTATCTCTAACTGAGACATTTGAAACTTTCGTAGGTAAAGTAAAGTTTAACCTGCTAATCTAGTTATATATACCAATAAAATACTTACATGTACACAAACCGATTATGAATTCTGCAATTAGGCATTCAATAATATTGACTTGTAATGAACCGGAACATAGCTTATACATATATGTGCTTGAATGACTCAAGGCTCGGAGGTACCAAATACAGAAATTCAAAATCTTTGCCACAGCGTTTCTAAAAAACAACTACCAAAAGAAGATTCTTGATGAAGAACTTTAGTTACCCAGCTGAAAGTTAAAAGTGACCAGTTCATGTAAAGCCATCATGGTTTTATCGTTCATTTCTGAGATATTTTAACGTCTCAAGTGGTACCTTAAAAACATGGTGTCTAAAATCTGCTACAAGACTGGCAGAACATTTGGGTGATATTTTATTTAGACCGTATATGCCAATTAATAACCCTGCAAAAGTGTTAAACTTTGCCTACAAAGTACAGTGTAGAGGTCCACATTGGAAAGCAACCGGAAACTGATCATCTGATCATAGCAGAGCACTTTTCTATGGTTCGCCATGAACAATACAACAATTCTAATGTTGCCATGCATGCGATTACTGAAACGGATTCTTTCGGAAAGATCAGTGTGTCTGTCATAGACAAAGAATAATGTAAATTATATCTGCTGATAAATGGATCCTTGCATATGCTGGCAATAAAAAACCCGATGGGCATTGAATACAAGTCTTCTATGATTATTAGCGAAAGCTTGAGGACGATAAAATTGATAAGATAAATCGTGCCTGCACAACCATGATCTGATTGTTTTAATGAGCTTCACACTAGATGTTGATCAATAGGTTGGCTGATCAGTTTAATGACATTCTGATTCTAACTTATTTTTTGCTTGTTGGACATAAACGTATTCAAACAGGCGTTTGTATAAAACCTAGCCCTGATGATGATATGGTCTATTTAGCGAAACGCGACAGTAATAGACTGTTGCACTATCTGTTGTATTGAAGTTCTGAACTATAAATCGTTCAAACAAGTGTCCATATAACTATGGACGCAGAACCAAAAATGTGAACTACTAACTGTATGTGATAGTTCGCAACCATTCAATGAAGGAGGTCATCGTACCGCTTAATTTCGTTTTTCGACACAAGCAAATTACCATATGGTTAATAAACAACTTGATACGACATTGGCTGTCGGTCGTTGAATTGTAAAACGAAACCTGTCAATAAGTGAGACGACACGAAACTTCAGTTAGCCTACGTCTCAATGAAGATGTGAATGGTAGTGCGAGAAACTCAAAACAGTACCAAACGATCGAACGCTTTCGGCATCTTGGTCGGATATAAACCGGCAGCTAAAAGATGCAATGAATCCTAAGAGTCTAACACTCAAATTCGCATCTCTACTGTGAGTGGTTTTCAATGGAACATTTTTCTGCTTCGTTGACCGTTCGATTAAGCGAGGCAACGCTGATACTTTTCTACTTCATACAGAGACTGATTTGCGATCAGTCGATTAACCAAAAAACCTGCTTTATACTACACGCTGTTCCATGAGCCTGATCTCCGTGATGAGCAAGGGATAATGAGGAGAAGAGTAGCGATACTTTTAGATAATTACCCTCAGTCATTTTCAACCTATTACTGAATGAAAGTCACTACGAGATTTTGCTGAAAACTTTACTCCTGCAATTCTTATGAACGGTACTCCAGAAACTTAATGATTCCGCTATGCGATTAATTTGAATAATTAATAATAATTTGGAATCGATTGCTGCATTTTGAACCTAGGCGTATGTCACATCTGTTCACCGATGTCACTTCTATTCAGTACTAGCTAGAGATTCCCATTTCAATTCTTTCGCTTTTGAAATTGCGTCTTCAACCCTTGTTTCTGCTTTTAGTCAGTCGTTAGGTCTCTTACCATAATTGGTATTCTAGATATGTACACTTCCATACTGGCTCCTTAATTTATGCTTTACCAATAACCTTAACACTCACAGATCGCATTTGACATCTGTGCGTCAGCAATGTAAGCAGGTATAGATGGAAGTCCTTCCATGGATACTTTGCCAAACAAGCTTATGCAGAACCGAGTTAATGGTTCCAAGCTCCGATGAGAAAGAAGTAATATTGGAGACCTTGTCGGTCTCCGTAGAACTTAGCCACTCGCATCTCATAATATTGCTTCATCGAACAGTATGCCCGTTTTGTCCTCGCCTGGGCCACAGAGGGTAAAGTCGGGTACGAAATGCCCTCGACCGCACCTACTCATCTACTTCTCGCAGCCAAGGAGCGTCAGCACAACAACAATTGCCCAAGATCGACGAAACGGCCATGGAGACACCAACCAGCGGAGTCGCTACCCATTGTGAATGGAGGAGTCACACAGCGCGATCCCACTATAACACGTGAGAAAAGGCATTATGGGAATGATACCTATAATGGGAGCTTACAATCGGAAATTGGATTATATTCTCACTCAAACGGAAAAAGCAACAGCCAGTTCATGAGGCCATGGGTTGCTAACTCTACATGGTTGCACTCCTGTCAACGACACGTCAAGACTGAAATCCGCAACCTCTGCGAGTGAAGCTATTCTACTCAGGCGTCGATATCACGACTCGCGCTCAGGCCGGTGTTGGTGTGCTGGAACAACTGAATATGGCTGATATAATCATTGAATGGAAACCTGTCAGTGGAAGGGTGGCAAATATTCGACAGAAGCCACAACACCCTAAGGTTTTCACTTTATCACAGGTCCATCTGCTCAATTTGGAGGTAGAGTAAAAATTCTTCATTGAGGAAGTAGTGTATGCTCTCCACAAAATGTAGACTACACAGATCCTAATTCTACTGGATGATTTTAATGATTATGTCAAAGCAGACACCGAAACGTAGAAAGGCGTGATTGCAAAAAACGAACGACCCTAGCGACCTAAGCAATAACGGTATGAAGCTGATGCGGCTTTGTGCAAACAACGGATTGTGCACTATGAAAGCCTCACCCGGATGTCGTAGGGTGCATCAGCACGCCTGACAGAGCGAAGCTTCTGCTGAGAAGTCCATCATCAATCTGATAATCGAATCGTTTGACTTACCACGCTCTCTAATCAATGTTCGAAGTGCTGTCAACGGGTCACTGCTTTGTTTTTGGCACGCAACGCTGTAAGAAGAGCAGTACCATGAGACGATCTCATGACAGTAACAACGAGAGAGTCAACTCAGAAAGATTGAGTTTGGTGAACACGAGGGCGAAATTTACAGACAACGTCGCACAACGGTTCGAAGAGACCTCGGCGACGTCCACCGATGTTGAAACCGAGTGGGAGCTCATTAAGAGCGGAATAATCGAGGCTGCTGCCGAACGCTGCGGATTTAAATGGGTTGGTCTGCCGATTGGAGGTCAGAAAAGATCTTCATGGTGGGCACGAGAGGTACAACTGGCAGTTAAAGTGAAGAAAGCAGTGTTCAAGAAATGGCGTGGAAACGAAGAGTCTTAAACTGTCATGTAACAGTGCCCAGGATGCAATGAAAGGAGCGGTGAAGTCTAAAGCTGATTCCCGCGAGTAGAACAACGAGGTGTTGGAGTGCAATTTCCAGACGTTAAAAAAGCTATCCTGGCATATTATTTGCCGCTTTTGAGGTGAAAAATAGAGCACTGTAAAAATTCTGAAGGACAAGTCTGCACATCCTCTTTAGAGTAGATGAGGACATTCTTCGGGAACGAAGAGCGTGCTTTGAAGAATTCCATAACACTTGGTAACCGCAGGAAGACTCCACTGTAGAGCAGCAGGGAACGGATATTGCTATTTCAGGTGGTGAAATGACACAGACTGCAAAAATCTTTTGTAACTGAAAGGCCTCTGGGATCGATGAAATCCGTCGTGAAATGCTCAAAGCATTACGCGAACAAGGTATGGGCTGGAACACACGTGTCTGTCGGATTGTAAATGGCTGCGGGAAAACATTACTGGACAGCACAAAGAGAGTTGTTTTACCCTTGTTCAAGCACGGAGACCAAACAGACTCCTCCAATTATCGTTGCATTACCTTATTCAGCATCCCAGGTAAAGTTTACGCAAAGGTGTAAGAAGGGAGGAGCCACGGAATAACTGACTAAAAGATACAAGAAGAGCAGCGCTTTCTGCTACAAATATCGAAACACGCCTCTTCATTTATTTGACCTACGACAAATTATTGATAAATTGTGTGAATTCCCCCATCCGGAGTATAT